TCCCTGGCACTGAGGCCAGAGTGACAGGACTGCTTCTGAGGAGGCCTGGTCCATAGGCTGCTCTGAGAGCAGCTCCTGGGCCAAAGAGGTGAGGACCCTTCTGGAGCCGCCTGCCCCCCATGGCACAGCCTCACCCAGGAACTTCCCACCTTTGCCTACCGCTCCTTGCCCAGCAGTGCCCAGAGTCCTCTGAGTAGGAGGAACCTGCCCAGAGCCCCTTAGAACCAGGGAGGGGTGGTCTGCGAGGGCTGGAAGAGACAGTCCTTCTGGGCATGTACACAAGGGCCTGGCGCTCCTCCTCTCAGGGGTTGGTGGGGGTACAGAAGGCCCCCCACTCGAAGCAGAAGTTCTGTAAGTCTGGGCCCAGCTCAAGACCTCACTGAGGAGACTGTGGCCTGAAATTCTGTCCATCAGTGGGGACAAAGCAGGGATGGGGTTAGGAGTCAGGTCTTCCCAGCACCTGGTCACCCTCCCCTCCATGGACAGAGCCAGCCATGGCAGAGGAAGTATGGGTGGGCACCTGGAGGCCCCATCGCCCCCGGGGGCCCATCATGGCCCTCTACAGCAGCCCAGGGCCCAAGTACCTGATTCCACCCACCACAGGTCAGTGCCTGGGAGCCTGGAATGGGTCTGGGGAGGATTTGGGGGGATCTGGGAAGCGCCTGGAATGAGGCTGGTGCAGGTCCGGGGAGAGTGTAGGGACGGTCTGGGAGGTCTGAGGGGTGGGTGTGTGGGGTGGGGCTGAGGGCTCATCCCTGGCTCTCAGCCCATGAACCCCTCTGGGGCCAATAGGGTGGGGACAAGGATGGTGTCTGGTTCCAGGCTGCTCAGAGCCCCTGTCCCACAGGATTTGTGAGGCACACGCCCACCAAGCTGCGTGCACCAGCCTACAGTTTCCGGGGGGCCCCCATGCTCCTGGCAGAGAACTGCTCCCCAGGTCCCCGCTACAGTGTGAACCCCAAGATACTGAGGACGGGCAAGGACCTCGGCCCCGCCTACTCCATCCTGGGGCGCTATCGCACCAAGACCATCACGACCCCTGGCCCTGGTAAGGGACTCTGGGGCCCCCGCAGCCCTGCCCAACTCTGCCAACGGCCACTGTGTGTCCTGTTAACGGCAGGGCAGTAAGGGAACACAGGCGTCCTGGGCCTCCTAGCCCCTCATCTGCCTCACAAGGGACACCAGTAGGCCCGAGGCAGCATAAGGGACCCTCTAGCCCAATTCCGACCCGAGCTTTTCTTGGCCTGAGTCCCGGCACCAGGCCCACAATAGAGCCTGCCCTTTTGCCTCCAAAGCCGCAGCTGTCCCCTGATCCCTGCAGCCCCGGACATCCCTGACCAACCTCAGGCACCATCTGTACGGGGGCTGGGAAGCCCTGCACCTGCAGTGTTGGGGGACTTCCTGGGCCGGATCCGCAGCCCGTCTGCATGGTCCTTTCCCTCCCAGCACACCCTCCACTCCTTTCCCGAGCCAGGTGACTACTTTCCAGAGAAATCTAGCAAGCACGTGTTTGACTCAGCACCCAGCCACTCCATTTCCGCCCGGACCAAGACCTTTCGAGTGGACAGCACCCCAGGTGTGCAGCAGCCCTGGCAGCCAACATCCAGCTGGGCTGGGGACGCTGGCAGGGGCGCGGGGGGTGGGGGAACGGGGACAGGGCAGCCTGATGGCTGCTCTCCTGGAGGTGAAAGGCCCCAGGGAAGGAGCCAGTGGAGAGTCTGGATGCTGGCTTCTGTCCAGCCGGAGACTCAATGCCCACTCACCCCGCAGGCCCGGCCGCCTACATGCTGCCTGTGGTGATGGGGCCCCACACTGTCGGCAAGGCCTCCCAGCCCTCCTTCTCCATCAAGGGCCGCAGCAGGCTGGGCAGCTTCAGTGACGACCTGCACAAGGCAAGGGTCCCCTGCCAGGGCACAGCACAGTTCATTCCCCAGGGGTGGCCCCGCTGGCCCCGTCCCCCAGATCCCACCAGACTGAAGCTGGTCAGCTCTTCATCCTCTGGGCCCTGCCACATGCCTGGCACCACCCTGTCGCACCCCCACCCCCACACACCCCAGGTTCCAGTCTAGGGGTGAGGAGAGGCAGACAGTGGACAGGGGTACAGACACTGATAGTGCTGAGGAGGGTTGAGCAGGGGAGTGGCCTTTGCTGCAGGGAGGACAAGGAGCAGCCTTTGATAAAGCAGCAGGCAGGAAGACGGGAAGAAGAAAAGCTGTGAGACATTTTGGGGGAGGAGGGCTCCAGCTGCAGAAATAGCCAGTGCAAAGGCCCTGGGGTGGGCATGTGTCCGGGAGCCTGAGGAGCCTGGGGAGAAGGCCAAGGTGGCATCCCAGCACTGCTGACCTTGCCCACCCATCCCATGGCCATCAAGTACCACAGGACAGAGTCCCAGCTGGAAAGGGGCCTCTCTGGCACACACCAAAGCGACCAGCCTGGGACTGGCACACACAGGGTTATCTTTTCCAGAGCGAGGCTGCCGTGGAAGGGCCACGTCCCACACAGAAGAGGTCATCCCCACAGGATGACTATTCTGTGGAGACAACAGGGACCCCTGACACACAGACATACAGTGGCTCAAGCGTGAAGCCCATGGCCCGATGCTGGCACACACCCCCCTCCCCCCGCCAGGAGTAGCATGCCCGGGCAGGCTGAGGCTCTCTGAGCCTCTTTCACCTCCTAGACCCCAGGTCCTGCAGCCTACCGCCAGACGGACGTGCAGGTGACGAAGCCCAAGGCTCCACAGTACACCATGGCAGCCCGAGCGGAGGCCCCAGGGGACAAGACCCTCAAGCCGGGACCGGGAGCTCACAGCCCTGAGAAGGTCCAGGAAGAACAGGGCCCGGAGGGGTGGGGTGAGGGGTGGGGGGGGTCACAGTGAGGAGGGAGTGGGGACGGCAGTGGTCACAACCCGGTGGGGAGGGGTTGTAGGGGCACCGCCCGGGAGGGGGGCACAGCCTGGGGACCAGGAGCCCACAGTCCTGAGAAGGTCCAGGAAGAACACGACCCAGAGGGGTGGGGGCACAGCCTGGGGAGCAGGGACCACAGGCCAGAATGGTTGGGTTACTGGGGGCACAACCCCAGGGTGGGGGGGTTTGTAGGGGTACAGCCTGGCGGGGCACAGGCAAGAGGACTTGAGTAGCTGGGGAGCACACCCAGAGTGGTTGTGGCAGGGAAGGGCCCATGGGGGTCCCAGTGGCCAGCCTGGCACGTGCCAGCCTGGCACGCTAGGCATCCGGGGCACACCACTGCCCCAGGGTCAGGTCCTGCCTCCCCAGAAAGCAGGGGCACTCACCATGGACCAGCCTCTGTGTTTAAACCTGGCGGTGTGGACTTGCTGCCGGTCACCTTGGCCCAGGCTCAGGAGGGACAGTGAAGCTACTGCCAGCAGCTCAAGCCCCGGGACGGCGGAGTCTGTCAGGCGGGGCAGGAATGCCAACTCTTCTCACAGCCTCTCCTCTCCCAGGTGACAGTGACCAAGCCCTGCGCCCCTGTCGTCACCTTCGGCATCAAACATTCCGACTACATGACACCACTGGTGGTGGATGTGGAATAGCCCCGGGCCCACCCTAGCTGGCTGCCCAGAGCCTCTGCACAGCACAGCCACCGCTGGAGACGCCCTGGGTGTGGCCTCTGGGTGCAGGCTCGCGCGGCGGCCTCCACCAGGTGGGCTGCGGCCTGCAGGGCAGAGCTCGTTTGGACAGTCGTGACCAGTTACTTTTTCTATGCTTTCCCATTTGCTTATCTTGTTTCCCGCTGTGCCCAGATATTTAATAAATCACAGATTGCATTAGTGACGAACTGGTCTTGGCTGTAGAATCAAGCTTTCCCAGAAAAGGGGCTCCTGCCTCAGTGGCTGGGTCCTCTCCTGGCTTCCAGGGACTGGGGTCTGAGCAGAGAGGGGGGCTTGGGACCTTGGACCCCGTGCCACACCTGCCCTTCTAGTTCTGCCACAGGCCCTGCACTTCACATCTCGTCCTACACTCCGAGGATGGTCACACCAGCACCTGTCTCCTTCCGTGCGGCCTGCTCCCTGCGTGACAGACCCTCCCCTGTGAGCTCTGTGCCCCGCCCCTTGAATCTAGACTAGAATCTGTGCCCACCCTCAAGGAAGCAGTGCTGTAGGTCCCGAGGCTAGGCTGTGGGACCTACAAAGGAGACAGCCCCTCTGTGGAGCAGAGGCAGCCCCTTCCCTTTGCTCCATCCAGCACCAGCCGCTGTGGTGGGGGTGCGCGCTCCGCACTCGGTGAGGCCACGGCGGCATCCAGGCAGCCAGCACGCCGCCCTCAGCCTGCAGGCACCTGAGCAAGCCTTCAGAGGACAACAGCCCCAGCATCCGCCTGCAGCCCAGGCCTTAATGTTCTAGGCAGAGGGCCATCCCCACCATGCCCGTCTTGAATGCCAACCACACTAACTGTAAGACACGAATTACTGTACTTGTGACTAAGGTTTCAGGCGATGCTGAGAGCAAAGGCAACACAGGAAGCACAAGGATGTGGGCCGGGAAGGGGGTATCTGAGTGAGGCCAAAGCCAGGCATCTCCAGAGGCTACCCGGAGTGCAAGGCCAGGCCTTGAGCACTGGAGCGTGGACTTCACCACAGCCCTGCGGAAAGGTCACTGTGAAGACCGCAGGGCGGCCGCCTGTCATCCCTGCGAGCCCACCAGCCGTAGTGGAACGAAGCACAGTATGGCTGCTGCTCCTCACCCCTCACTCTGCTGCCCCTCCCCACATGAGGCTGTGTTCTGAGCTCCTCACATTTATTCATTTAACCCTTGGGGTGAGTTACACAAACTCGGCAGAGAAAGTGACAAGCCTGTGACCACCCACCTGAGGTGGGGGTGGGAGGGACACGTGAGGACCGGAGCAGGGACAGGTAGAACCAGAGAGGGCAGGATGTGGGGTCCAGACCACCAGCGTCCATTGCCAGTCTGTGGACCAGGGTCGGCTCCAGATGAAACTCTCAAGCACCCAAGAAAATGAGGACACCAAAAGACTGTTTACTTCATCACGAAGCTATTTATTCCAAGTTTCTATGGTTAAAAGTCTTGTCCTTGAATTGTGGGATAGAGCCTGGCAGTGGGTCCTCACTTGGCATAGACTGGGCCCTGAGATCCTCTTTCTTTCAGTGGCTTCAGGGACCAACGTCAGCAGACTGCACAGCAGTAGCGCGAGCGCCGCAGAAGGGGCAGGAGGGCGGAAGGCCGCACAGGCCACACAGGCCACGGCAGAGCTGCCACACATCCATCGTGGAATCCATCCCAGTACAATCAGAATGAGAAACGAAAAGGAAAACCAGAAAGGAACTAAAACCCAGACCCCGAAATAGCTGGAAGGGCCACAAAGAGCCGTGGAAGTGGGGGTGGGGAGGCAGATGGGGCTTTAGGAGAGAACACAGCAGCCTGAGGTGTCAGGGAGACAGCAGAAAGCACCCGTCAAGACTACCCAAAACACAAAATCTAATCTAGCCCGCATCGAACCCATAGCGTGGTACAGCTCCCACAGCTGAGCTACGTCATCAGGAAGAGGTCCGCAGCACAGGCCTGGGCGGGGACGCAGAGTGTGGGTGCAAATGGAGACACTACAAAGGCCTAGTACGCTTGGTGGTCAACCAGAGGACATGCCCCCGTGGCAAGCCTTAACATGAGATCGCTAACTCAAAGCCGCAGTGCGTGAGGACTGGGGAGGGAGGCAGGACCATGGGGGCCTGAGAAGGAATGTCAAGGTGTCAGGGGAAACAGCAAAGCCCCCCAGACAAGGAGGCAGGTAAGCTAACCTCCCCGCATGAGAACTAGCACCCGGAGGGACCTGGGCAAGTCAGAACAGAGCACTCAGGAGGAAAGTAGGCTCCCCTCCTCCGGGAGCCTGAGTGGCCCAGCAGGTACAATGGAGAAGAAGCTACGGTGACCATGTGAGGAGAGGCCAGGCTTGCAGGACGGACAAGGGACAGGAAGAGCAGAAGGGAGAGCAGGGAGCGGCGGCAGGGAAAGGGAGGTGACCGGAGCCGAGGTGCGGTCACTGTGTGGGAGTCACACAGGGGACTGCACAGTGGGCAGTGCGGGGCAGCGCCAACAGTCCTCTGGGAGTCAGGGGAGTGACCAGGCAGGCAGGAGATGGCAACAAGGACACAGAAGAACGCACAGCTGACCAATCGCCTCTCACGTGTGCTTATGCACAACGAGGGTGCCGACACCTCACCACGGGGTAGGAAGCTGCTGGCCCAGGTGGGCCTGTGCTTCTGTCTGTGTGAACATGGGGCTGGCCAAGCGGGCAGGGAGGGCCCAGGGAGAGGCACGCATGGAGGGCAGTCTGCAGAGGCTGGGTGGAGGGACTAAGAGTTCCCTCAGTAAGGGATGCTCACTGTCGAAGGGCCTCACGTGACCCTCAAAGTGACCCGCAGATCCTATGGAGAGAGACCTTGTAGGGAAGCCTCCTGTCTTGACCCATAGAGCACCTCCCCCCAACACACACCCTGCCTGACTCCAAGATGCCAGAGGGAACTGCTTCTAGACGTCTGGTCTCCCCAAATCCATCTTTGGTGTTGGCCAGACCGTGAATCCTGAGAAAACGGGACTTTATGCCCACTGATACAAGACTGTGAGATCCAGAAGGATCAGAGCCCAGTGCCTCCAGTCAAGGTCGCAGTCCACTTCTTCATCCACAACACCCTGCCCTTCCCCGAGGCTGACCTGCCCTTGCCCAGCAGCCCAGATGAGCTGCCACGTCTAGCCCCCAACAGTAGTTGCCATCTCTGAGCTGAGGCGATGGTGCTCCAACTTCACCGCCAAACGCCCCTTCCTGTGTCAGCACCTCAGGCAACAGACGTGGCCTTACCCAGAGATGTGGATGGGGCAGGGCCCCAAGATGTCAAAGCCCCAAGGGATAAGGGAAGGGCTGCTGGCCACAGGTAGCCGTGTCCCGGATTCCCAAAGGCTCTGCTCACACCTGACTCTGCCCTCTCACACCCACAGCAGCACAGGTGGGTGGGCGCTGGTTTCCGCAAGAGAGAGAGACCCTTCCGGGCATGGGGCCAGCCAGTATGAGCTCACTAGGTCAGAGGCAGCCGGGAACTCCAGCCACACAGGAAGAAAATTCCCAAGCCACGATCATCATTTCAAAGGACTATTTTGTAGGTGGGTCCTCTGAGCCTAGGACACCAGGCACCCACAGAAGTCAGCTCCTCGTGGCTCAAGTCCTTGCCCTTGACAGGAGATAGGAGAGGATGAAGAAGGCCACGATGAGGCCCACGGCCATACCACACAGAAGCTTCCGGTTGTCTCGCCCAGACCTCGCCATTGTGGAAAAGCGCTTCACGCTCCCCGTGAGCAGGCCTGTCATGCTTGTGAAATCCGAGTCCTGAGGGAGGAATCCCAGCAAGGTCACACAGGGGCAGCGCCTCCACGACTGCCACGCAGGTGCCACAAGCAACACCAGGGGCCGGCACAGCAGGCAGCATGGGGCAGAGCTGACCGCGATGCCCACGCACACTGCAGACCCTTACCATGCTGTCCAGGTACCGGTTCTGGTCTTCTGCATCCCTATCGATGTCCAGGGCCAGCTGGTCAGGACACAGGAGGGGGCAAAGTCAGGTCAGAGAAGGCACACCAGATGGCACCTGACCCCCCAGGAGACCAGCAGACCCTGCCAACAACTCTGCCGGGCACAGTGCCCCCAGCAGAGATCAGGAGATCCAGCTGTCCCCTGGACCTCACAGACGAGAGCTGCCACGGAGGAGACAAGGAAGATGGGAGCTACCTGAAACCCTTCCCAGCCTCGACCCTCCCCCTGGTCCCCACTCCAGAGTGCCAGGTGGAGATGAGGCAGCACCACCACTGACCGATTTGAGCCTGGTGACCTTGGACGCCAAGCTGTCGGCCATCCGCTTATTCTCCCGGTCTAGAATCTCCTCCACAGCGGCAGGACTCTGAGCTGTGGGAAGGGACAGTCTGAGTGGGGGGGACGTCTACCTGTGAGCCCGGCCCTGGACCCCTGCCCATCAGCCCTTCGTGGCCCCAGAGCGCTCACTCCAGCTCTATCCGACAAGCTGGAAGTCTCAGGGGACTGGGCTCCCGGCTGTCACGCAGGTCCAACCCTCAGCCAGGGTCAGGCGCAGGGACCTCACCGTGTGGGCACCTGCCGTGTGAGCAGACCGCCTGTGAACACAGCCAAGCCGCGACGGGCAGGTGCCCCAAAGGCTTCAGGCCTACCAGCACTTTCGGAGACTGAGACAGAACCTGTCCGCTCCCTCCACGAACGTCACCAAATTACAGGGGCCCGTCCTCCGAAAAACGACTAACTCTGGCCCCGGGGGACGCCGCAGAAGGGGCCCTGCAGGGACGACCTATGCGCTGGCTCCGGAGCAGCCGACGAGCGACCGAGGGGGAACAACGGGGAGGAGAGCTCCGCGACACCCAAGAACGGGCTGAGGTCCACTGAGGTCTGCGCGCCTCTGCACCCCACACCCTCCGTGGCACCCGAAGCACGGTCCGTGCGGAGACCTGACACGGGACTAGTGCGAGGCCTGGGGATTCCGAATTCCTGTCCCCTCAGGGGGTCAGAACCACCTCCCCCGCGGCCCGGACGCCTCGGCGGGCCGGACCCGACCGCGGCACAGCCCCACGAGTCGCCCTGGGCGCACCGCACAGAAACGGACGCTGACGCCCTACAAACCGCTCCGCGCTCGCCCAACCGCGCAGTCCCAGCGGCCCGGCGACACGGGCATCAGCGGCCCGCTTCCCGGGTGAAAACAGGAGATCTCGGGACGCCAAGCCCCCTCTCCCAGCGCCAGCTTCCGGGGCACCGGAAGCGCTCACCACGAGCCCAGTCCGCCATCGCGCCCAGCCCCGGCCTGCGTCAGCCGCGCGGCCACGGCCCCCGCGGACGTGGCGAAGTCCGGGCAGGACCCTCCGACCCCGCCGCTTCCGCTCGGGCCGCCGACTTCCTGCCGGCGTCCGGCCCACGTCCGGTCTGGGGAGGGGCGGGCCGCGGGTGCTTTCCCTGCCAAAGACCGCGTGGAGGCGTGGACAGACACCTCTACCCGCCAATCGCGCGGAAGACGGAGCTCCGTCCTACCCGCGAGCGCTCCCGGGCCTCTCCGCAGCGAGGGAGGCTGGAAGGGGTCGCCGCGGGCGCTCGACCCTGCCCAGGCTGCGGTGCGCATCTAGGCTGCGGCCGCTGCTTGTGGGACTAGGTGGAGACCAGTGCCGGCCCCAGCGAACGCTGCCGAAGAGCAGGGGTGACGCGTTCCGCAGGAAAACGAAGCCAGACGGGAGGTGGGCGTGCGAGGACAGGAGGAGCCAGGGCTTCCCGCCTCCGCACTCGGCACCGGGAATGAGCCTGGCGCGGGGCCGACGGCCCACAGGGGCTTGTTGCACGGTGCATGCCGACGCGCCGTGCCGTGGAGCGCTCCCGACAGCGCGCGGACCCCGGGACGTCCAGCTCGCTGCCTTTCGGAAGAGGACACGGGCCAGGCCACCCTGCGTCTGGGCTGCACACACGGGACGCTGCGGCGCACGGTCAGGCTTTGCCTTCGCCCTGACCCTTCGCACTCTCCGCCTTCGTGGAGCTGCAGGGACGTGTTTCTCTCGCCCACCGCGGCCATCCCCGTCTTGGAACCGGCCGCTCCTTTTGCTTTGAGTGACCTTCCCCCAGATCACTTCTTTTCGTCCGGTCTCCGCAGAGATGGCGCGGACTCGACCCGGACCCCTCTGCGGCCCACCGCGAGTCCCGGATGTCCGTGTTCCCTCGTCTTCCCTTTCGGGACACGAGCCCAGCGAAAGCAGCGAGCTGGCCCTCAGCAGGCCCTCCAGCCCCTGCTGAACACGCCGAGGGGTCCGGGGCTGCAGAATCCTTCCCGCCTCGGCTCTGCGCATCAAGAGGGCCGCGGGAGGGCGGCGCGGCGGGCTAGGGTCCTCGCCTGCGGGCAGCTCCGGCCCAAGAAGCAGGGGTCCCTAGGAGGGTCAGGGGCGACTGGGCCCCAGGCTAACAATCACCCAGTAAGACCTTTGAAAACCCCGCCGACCCGCCGGCTAAACCAAGCTCCAGTCAGCTGACCCAGCTCGCCACCTTAAGGAGCCCGCGGCCCTCGCCTCGCCCCGCCCCGCGGCGCCGCAGGGCGCGCACAGTCCCCGCCTCCGCTGCCCGCGGCCCTCGCCCCGCCCCGCGGCGCCGCGCGGCGCACCCAGTCCCGGCGTCCCCCGCGCGCAACCCT